CACTTAACCTCTGTTTGCCTCAGTTTCCTCATCTGTAAAAATGGGGATAATAATAGCACCTGCTTTTCAAGGTTGTTGTGAGGATCAAATGAGATAATATTGGTAAAACACTTAGCACAGCGCCTGGCACATAGTAGGCTCGATATGAATGCTAACTATCATCATCACCATCATCTTTATTATCCATATCCACTAAACAAGGTGCCCAACTCATAGTAATCACTTAATAAACTCTCGTTGAATGACAGACTTGTTGATGATTAACCCCTATATTCTTTCCATTTGTCTAGATACAACTCTCTCATTCTGTACTTATAAAGTTGAGTTTTTGAACCAAGTGTAGGACTTCACACTTATATTAAACATCTCTTATTGGATCAGGCCAGTCTTTTTAGACTGTTAAGATCCTTTTGGATTCTGACTTTGTGCCATTGACAAATTTGAGAAGTTTGCCATTTATATCCACAACTCAATTATGAAAAAAAAGTATTCATTAGCACAAGGCCAGAATGGATCCCTGGAGGTACCTGACCAGCAAGCTCCTCCTGTTTCACATTGAGCCACTGGGGCCAAGAAGAAAAAGTCTGATTCTTTCTCCATATGACATCCATTCACATACTGGAAGACCTTTATCATCTTTTTTTTTTTGGTGAGGCAATTGAGGTTAAGTGACTTGCCCAGAGTCACACAGCTAGTGAGTATGTCTCTGAGGTCACATTTGAACTCAGGTCCTCTTGACTTCAGGGCCAGTGCTCTATCACCGCACTACCTACCTGCCCCTATCATGTCTTTTTCAAGTCTTCTTAAAGTACTTTGGTAAGCAAGGCATATTAAAGCACTCTGTACAATCTTATCAGTGTTATAAAATCCACACATTCAACAAATATGTATTTGACACTTGCGAAATACAAAGTTGTGCAAAGCCTTGGTCCTTCTCTCCATGGAGTTTATAGCTAGCGGGGGGAATGAGAGCAAAAGCAGCGAGAAGGCCAAGTTGGCATCTTCTGAGCCAGACAACTTGTTGGGACTAATTATGCAAAGCACAATTCCTTACAATTCATAATAAACATAGAGATCAATGGCCAGAAAGAACCTCTAATGGTGTCTGATGTTATTATCACAACCAGTTAGAGCCCAAGTAAAGTAGAGACATTTTTCTTTCAGTCTCTCAGGGCTTTATATTTCTTACATAAAGTTGGCTTCCAAAGCAATTTCTTGGGGGCGAGAGTTATTATCATTTTCCTTCAGTGGTTAGCAAGTAAGTACTAAGTATTGCAAACTGTCTTCTGGCACTAAGAAATTGTGTGGGCTCGATGACTCACTGTGTCTGGCCCAACAGTGGCCCTGAACACATAAATTACTTCATAAATTACTAAATCTGATCCAACCACAACACTGAATGGATATTTGCCCATATTGCCAAAAATTAAAGAGGTCACTGCCACATGGCATCAGAAACATTTGTTAGTAGATAAAGGTGTGGATGCTGCCATTCATCCCTGATCTGGAAGACTAGTCCTTCTGGGATGTTGCTGTTAAGTCAGAATTTCTCTTTTAAATAATAATAATAGCTCACATTTTATAGCATTTTAAGATTTTCAAAATGCTTTCCACACAATATTTCATTTGACTTTCACCATGACCTTGTAAGGAACTAGTATGACTCCCCTTTTACTAATGAGTAAAATGAGGCTGAGATTAACTGACTTGTTCAAAGTCACACAGTAAGCATCTGGAGTGGGACATGAACCCAGGTCTTTCTGATTCCAAGGTTTTTGCTCTATCCACTATACCACATTGCCTTACCCGATTTTAGAACTGGGCCAGAGTCTTCTTCATTGTTAAGTAAAAAATCGTGAATGATTTTAGAGTATTTTTCTTTGGTGGCTCCATGATTTTCTTTGTGTGACATTTCCTCTACAGACCAAGGATGCATTCCTTCTCCCAGATCCTCATTTCTTACTGTCCTTTTCATCATTCATTAAAGACAGATTCTTTCTGCATAGATGTACATATGCTTATCCCTTCTCTGCTCAAAATCCTTCAATAGCTCTTTATTGTCTACTGAATAAAGTTTGAAATCCTTAGCCTGGCAGTCAGAACCCCACATTCTGGAAACTTCCTTTTCAGCCCTTTCCTATATACTGATGTTCTCATACTCTACCTTCTGACCAACATGTTCCCTGAACCTGTCTAAAGATCTTCCACATCTGCTTTTTGCTTTGTAAATATAAGAAATAAGACCCTAGACTTTGAGGTAGAAGGAGTGGCTGCCACATCCTTCTTCTGATAATTAGTAGTTGAATGACATTGGAGAGGCCGCCTAACCTCCATTTCCCTCAAACATCTCCCCAGGATGTAAGGGCTGCACTCTATGTCAACGGAAGGATTGCTCACACAGAAGTTCTACACCCTGACAAAACTGGATGCCCACAAATACTTAAAATGAGCCATCTTCCCCTTGCCACCTGTTAAATTCCTGCATATTCTTTTCAACCCAATTTTATTATCACCTATTTCACGACTCCTCCCTTTTGATCCCTTCTCTCAGCCATAAAAAAATAAAATCCCCTTCAGAACTGACACAGCATTGTACTTGCAACTTTTTGATACATTTATGAACTATTCCATATCATCAGTATTTATGTTTTGTCTGTATACTACTACTAATAAGAGTAACAACTAACATTTATATAGCTCTTACTATGTGTTAGGCACTGTGTCAAAGTGCTTTACAATGATCACATCTGATCCTCACAACAACCTTGTGAAGCAGGTCCTATTATTAGCCCGTTTTGCAGAGGAGGAAACTGAGGTAAACCAGAGGTTAAATAACTTGCCCAAGGTCACACAGCTAGCAAATGTCTACTATTGGCTTTGAACTAAGGTCTGCCTGACTCCAGGCTTGCTCTATCCACTGCACCACCTAGCAACAACCTCCATGAGGGCAGGGACTGTGCCTTATTTAAGCGTGTGTCCCCCAGCACAGGGCTTTGCACTTAGAGACGTTTCATAAAAGCTTGAAGTGAATTGATTTCTGTCAGCAAGTCTTGTCCACGTTTTCCTACAAAACTGCTGAGAGGATTCCCCCTGACCCACCTAGTATATTTGAGGGCTACAGCCCAGCCCAGAGCCCTCTGTCCATCACACCTTGGCCTACCATAGGACCTGGATTCTCCCTTTCCTTTTAAGTGATTTGCCAGGGTCACACAGCTAGTAAATGTCAAGTGTCTGAGGCTGGATTTGAACTCAGATTCTCCCGACTCCAGGGCCAGTGCTCTATCCAACACGCCACCCAGCTTCCCCTGGGCTGCTTCCTTTCCCGTCACATGTGTGCTCAATGACATTTTAATGCCAGTCATACCAAGTCTTTGGCAATAACGCACTGTTAGTTACACAGGTGGGTTTGGTCCACTTCAGTGACACCATCTTTGCTGGATACATCTGTATCACCTCTGTAAACCTGGTGTCAGGGAGGCAGGACTAGCCCTCTGTCTCACAGGCTTATCAAATTCTGCCATGTTTTTGCTGTGTGGAATCATGACATTTTTGTTTTATTTCCCACACCTTCCTGCCCCATGCTGTATATTCCAGATGAATAGGACTCCTGGCGCTCCTCAATCTCATCTAAGCCCATTTTACCTCTGTGCATTCTCACTGACCACCAACCTTTCTCTTCTTTCAAGATCCATACTCAGGGTCCTTCAGTGCAGAGGAAAAACCAGTGGGCTTGAAATTAATTAAGAGAATGGCTGGGTCCCAGTCCTGGCTGTACCACTTGTGTGCTGTGTGACCCTGAGCAAGTTCTTGCCCTCTCTGAGCTTTACAAAAGGAGGGAGTTGTACTGGATGGTCTGAAGTTCTTTCCCACTCTAACAATTGATCCATATAAAGCTCTACTTTTGGAGACAGCTAAGAGAACTGGGTCTACTTTGTCTGGAAATGGTTTTTTTAAGTTCAAAAGGGGATCCAGACAAGCAGGGCAGTTGTGGTACTATGATGTTCAATTTAAAATACACTTGAACAAACTGCACATAAGAGAAATTCCCAGTTGCACAGACTATCTTCTTTTTCTTCCTCTTTGGATATCAAAATGTTCATATTTGTCGGTGCTTGTTCAGCTCAAAATAAAAAGGAATGCTTTTTGCAAATGGTTCCTGTGACCAAAGCTCCTCCTCTCAATAAGCCCTGTCAGTGCCAGCCTATGAGTTCAGCCCTTCATTTTACAGAAATCACACATTTATCTCATCTAAAAGATTATTGTAACTCACATCCCTTGATACTTTCAGGTAACAAGGCTTTTTCACCACAACCCACCACGAGGGAAGTGAATTCAGCATTACCTCCCCACCCCTAGCCCCGACCCTGCCCGCCATTTACTGAAGAAACAGGATCGAAGAGATGAAATTTGCTCAGTCATATTCCAAGGAAGTGACAGAGCCAGGACTTGAAACCAGGATTGCTTTTAAATGCAAGAACTAACTTAGTTCACAGTGGCTTTAATTTAGAGCTGGAAGAAACCTCAGAAAATCTCTAGTTTAGTAATTCTCAAACTTTTTGGCATCAGGACCCCTTTACATGCTTAAAAATGATTGAAGGCAGAGCTTTGGTTTCCATGGATTATATCTATCAATGCCTACTGCATTATCAATTAAAACAACTTAGTATTATTATGTAAAAATTTCATATCCCCACAGAACCCAAGAGAAGGTCCTGCGAATCCCCAGGGTCTCCAGACTCTACTCTGAGGATTGCCATTCTACTTTAATCATTCTACTGAAGGCTAAAGACACTAAATGACTTGTCTAAGGTCATACAGATAGCAAATGGCAGACCAGAGATTTGAATCCAACTGATCCCAAATCCTGGGTTCTTTGCACTATATTGTGCTGTTGGCTAACAAGAACCCAAAAAAACTAGGAAAGGAAATCAGTGATCTCTTTCTTTCAAATACCATCCTAAAATGTCAGTGTTTGTTATTGGTAAAAGCAAGAGTCTTACCTCTTCCAGAGCCCATAATGAGTCAACCATAGGTTTGATCTTCTTCTCGTTGTACAGGGCTATGAGTTTGTCCATTATGCCTTTAATCAGGCCTCCTCGTCCCTGTTTGAAAAGGAGATTGAGGAGCGAAAATCCAGCAATGACTTTGTTCTCCTCATACAGCTTGATGGGGTTCACCTTCTCGACCTGCCACCACTGCAGATAGAAGTGACAAGAGCATTAGAAGAAATGGGGAACAGAAAAAACCAGTCAAAGCTATGTGACCATGATAGGGGAAGAGAGGATACCACCAAACTCTAAAACTTTGGCCACTTGAGATTTAATCCTTCCATTAGTAATGCCTCCACTATAAAAATAATGATAATGATATTACCGACATTTATATGTTGCTTTAAAGTGTGTTAAGTGCTGTGGGACTTTGGGCAAAGCATGTCCCCTTTCTGAAAAAAGAGCAAATTGAAGATTAGCTCTAAGGTATCTTACAGACTTAACAAGCTACATTCTAAGGGCCTTTGTAGCTTTGAGCTTTTGTGTTCTAAGGCCTTTTCTAGGCCTAACATGCAATAGGAGGTCATGGTTTTTCCACACTTGAGCCTTTCTCAAAGTAGCTGAAATTAGATCCCTATGGAGCTCTCATCTGTCCCTTGACTTAGCACTTGAAGAGTCTTTAGAGATCATTTGATCAAACCAACTCATAATTAGAGACGTGGAAACTTATTGATGAATGGTGAAGTTCAATGACTCAGATGAGGTCAAGGGATAGAAAGTGGAAGAAAAAGGATCTGAAATCAGATCCTCTGACCTCCATTCCAGAGTTCTTTACATTCCACCATGTTTGAAGGCCACCCATAAGCACATACTGCCATTGGCATGGTTATTCAGCCTGCTCCTGCTGCCAAAAGGACTCAGTCCCACTCTTCACACCATATGCAGTTTCCAACAGGGGCCCTTGTTTTTCTGAACGCTTCAGTCAAACATGTACACAATGCAATTATTGTGTTAACATTGTGCTTATGGGAGCCTGTATTTAGGGGAGAAAAGGGAAAACACTTTGTACAAGTGAATGTAATTTGGGACAATTTGCTTACCCACAGCAATCTGTCAGCATTGAGTTAATTACAGCAACATAAAAATAGCTATTCTTGTTCTGAAACCAGTCATCAAGAGAAATGCTCACAGAGGCATCTTGTCTTTTCATTTTTGTTTTCTGGGATGAAATAATTCTCCTCCCAGATAGTAAAGCTCAAGGGAAAAGAAACCTTTAATGTTTATCTCAGAAGGACAAGGAAGATTACATGAAGTGGTTTCCAATTAGTTGGTGAGTAGAGGAGACGGTGGTACCACAGATCCACGGAATGTGGAACTGGAAGAAAACAGTCTCTTCAGCCACGAAATAAGGAAATTGGACTAGACAGGCCCTAGGGCTCCCCCCCAGCTCTGATGTTCCACGTTGTGTGTTTGATCCTCACCACAGCCCTGAGAGGGAGGTGCCATTATGATCTCCATTTTACAGATAAGGAAACTGAGCCTGCGTGACCTGACTTGCCTGGGATCATACAGCTAGTAAGTGTCTGAGGCTGCATCTGAAAAAATAATAGCTACCATTTATCTAGTACCTACTGTGTGCCAGGCACTGTGTGAAGCACTTTACAATCACTATCTCATTTGATCCTCACAACAACCCTGGGAGGCGAGTGCTATTATTACCCCCATTTTATAGATAAGGAAACTGAAGCAGACAGAGGTGAGGTGACTTGTCCAGTGGCATATAGCTAGTCCGTTTCTGAAGCTGGATTTGCATTCAGGTCTTCATGATGCCAGGTCCAGCGTATATGGCATAGTGGATCATAATAGTACCTATACCTCCCAATGTTGTGGGAAGATCAAAGGAGAAAATATTTGTGAAGCACTTAGCACAGTGCCGGGCATACAGTAGGCACTTAATAAATGTTCGTTGCCTTCTCCTTTGACATCCTACGTCCTAACTTGACTGACATTCTTTGAGCGTAAGCATGAGGCGCCCAGGTTAATACGAATTGATTCTTACCTGACTAGAACTTCAAGTTAACTTCATTTCTGAGCATGATGATATAATGGAATGAAATGAGGAAAATTACAATCCTCCTGGCAATGGTTATCCCCTGTTCTGAATTGTGCCAGTTGACATGTATCAATTCTTCTTCTCATCTAGAGTGAGAAGCTCTGAATCCCAAAGCTGGACAGAAATGGCGAGGCCAACTAAGCCACGCTGGAGACGAGCCTCCTTCCACAACATCTCCTATGAGTGGCCACCCAGGCTCTCCCAGAAGGTGTCCAGAGCCGAGGACCTCCCTGCCTCCCACGGTGGCCCAGGAGGGGTTAGACAGCTCTAATTAACAGGAAGTTCTTCCTCACATTGAACCTCTACCTTCTGCTTCCTAAGGCCAAACAGAACCGGTCTAATCCTTCTTGATAATGACAATTACTTAATGAATTCTATTAATGACACTTTGTGACACTTAATGAATTCAGTTCAACAAACAAATGAGGTCCCTCATGATGAATCCCTACAGGGGCAGGACAGACACAAGACAAACAAGAGCAGAGCTATGGAAGGAGGGCATCTATCGTCCTGCTGCACTCTGTTCCGGTGAGATGTCATCTACAGTGTTGCGTCTGGCTCTGCATGACACATTTTAAGAGAAATGTGGAGAAGCTAGAGCGCATCAAAAGGACGTTGGAGATCATGTCTTGACAAAAAGTTCAGTGGAAGGAACTTGGGGGAAGCTTAAGAAAAGGGAACAAGCATTTATTAAGCACCTACTATGTGCCAGGCATTGTGCTAAGCACTTTACAAATATGATCTCATTTGATCCTCACAACAACCCTGCAAGGTGCTATTATTATCCCCATGTTACTGTTGGGAAAACTGAGGCAGAGATTAAGTGATTTGCCCAGAGTCACAGAGGTAGTAAATGTCTGAAGCTCGATTTGAACTCGGGTCTTCCTGATTCCAGCTCCAGCGTTCTATCCATCGTGCCACTAAGATGACTACAGAAGGGATGATAACACAATGCCTTGGACATAATAGTGTGGTTGTGAAGTCTTCTCAGTCATGTCCAACTCTTTGTAACCACATTTTGGGTTTGGTTTTTTTTTGGCAAAGATACTGGAGCAGTTTGCCATTCCTTCTCCAGCTCATTTTACAGAAGAGGAAACTGAGGCAAACAGGGTTAAGTGACTCCCCAGGGTCACACAGCTAGGATTTGGATTAATGAAGATGAGTCTTCCTGGTTCCAAGCCCAGTGCTCCATCCACTGCACCAGCTAGCTGCCTAGGACATAGAAGTAGGCGATTAATAACAAAGGCTTGTTGAATTATCTGGAGACACGTTAGCCATCTTCACGTGTTTGAAAAGTTGTCATCACAGAGATATGAGACTCGGTCAGTCTGGCTCCTGATAAGAGCTAGAAGTAGTGAGTGGAAGTTTACAGGGACACAGATTTCAGACATAAGAAACTGCTAATAATTACAGCTCCCAGCCTTGGGAGGTAATAACATTCCCATCACTAAAGATTTTTAATCTGAGGCTGAATGACTCCTTCTGGGGAATGTTCTAGAAAAGATTCCTGTTCAGATACAGTGTGGACGAAATGCCTTCTGAGACACCATACAGACACCGAGATTCTAGCTAGAACATTCAAATTCTATAAAGGTTCTCAGTACATGGCAACAGGCCCAAAACACAAGCAATCTCTGGTTAAATTAAATCGAGCATTTCTTGCATTTTTGCCCCACCTACCACACCAGGAGAAAACTGGTGCTAGTAAATTCATTTTTATAGTCATTGTTCTGCTCCCTCAGGCTTTTAAAAATACAGCCTAATTCTACCAGTGAAAATCAAACACTTTGCTAGGATGAATGACTTCAGAAGAAATTTTTGACAGTATGTCTGGTATATACATATCTGCACTTACACAGCCTTCTATCATCATCTGTATTACTTCTCCTAGCATTCAATTTGCTATGCCACTTTAGTTGGGCCTAGGGTCAGGAAGATTTGAGTTCAAATCCAGCTTCAGACACCGACTAGCTGTGTGATCCTGGATAAGTCACCTAACTTGTTTGCCTCAGTTTCCCCATCTATAAAATGGGGGAAACAACAGAACCTACCTCCCAGGACTGTTGTGAAGGTCAAATGAGATAATAATTATAAAGCACTTGGCATAGGGCCTGGTACACAGTAAGCACTATATAAATGCTAGCTATTATTATTTCAGGGCAGCCTCAGACACTTCATAGCTGTATGACCTTGGGCAAGTCAGTTAACCTCTGTCTGACTCAGTTTCCTTACCTGCAAAATGAGGATCATAATTTGCAAAGCAGTTAGCACAATGCCTGGCACATAGCAGCCACTTACTAAATGTTTGCTCCCTTCCCAGTTTCTGATCCCATCTCTGCACTCTGCCCACCCAGAAGTGGACTTGGTCTTGCATTTCTCAACACAGTGTCCTCTGCACATTCTTAGACTCCCTCCCCATATCCAAGTCCCCTCTCTGACATTTCAGGAGTAGATGGCCTTTTTCTTTCCCTTTTTTTTTTAAGGCAATTGGGGTTAAGTGACTTGCCCAGGGTCACACAGCTAGTAAGTGTCCAGTGTTTGGTATGAGGCCAGATTTGAACTCAGGTCCTCCTGACTTCAGGGCCAGTGCTCTATCCACTGCGCCACTAAGATGGCCTTTTTCTAACCAGAGTATTTCCAGACCATCCTCTGACACTTACATGGGGTTACCTCCAAGAGGCTTAACATGCTTGGGCCTGTGGATTTTCCCCAAGTGCTCTTCTGCTAACTGGCTTCTGGTTCCTCTTATCGCCTACAGATCTCCAGCTGGAGCCAGCTTGGCTAGGAAGGTACCCCACGCCCCCATACAGGAGTGTGGGATGCATGTCGGATTTCTACAAATACTCACTGATTTTGCAAAGCTGAAGAAGCTCTTGGTCTCCCCTGTCACGGTGTTTGATGACCCTGTGAAGAAAGGACATGGGACATGAGCCACTGAGAAGAAAAATGGCACAGTGATGCAGCGACAAGAATACTGGACTGGAGTCTGAAAGCCTGGGGCAAGTTGCTTCTCCTATTTTTGCTTCAGCTTCCTCATCTATCCACCTGGATGATCTCTATGACCCCCTTCTAGCTCCAGATCCTATGAAACAAATTCTTTGGGAAACAAAAGCATTGATATTTGCCCCAAATCAAAGGGTTGTCATCATTTGGACTCAGAATTGGAAGGAATATGAAAATATTATACTGGGCAGGTAACCTGAAGTAACTCTCAAGTTCCTTGGAGAGGAAGGAGGGTAACTGAGAGGAACAAAAGAATTGAAGTGACTGGAGCTCACCATGAATGAGCAGCGGTGGAAAACCAACAGACAAACAAGCAAATGACTTGGCTTAGAGAGAAAGGAAGGCTCAGGGAGACCACAGATGCTGCCAGGTGGCAGAGGGTCTAGACTCATTCTGTGTGATCAGGGACAAGAGCAATGGGTGGAAGCCGTGCAGACGCAGATTTAGGCTTAACGTAAGAAAATGCCTCCTAACAACTGGAATTATCCAAAGGCAGTGCAGATGTCCTCACTCGGGCGGAAGTGAGTTTTCTCCACCTTCGGGGCCTGCCATTGGCATCTGCAGGGCCATTTCTCAGGGAGAGTGTAAACAGATCCTCGATTAGGTGGGATGGTCTTTTGGTTAGGTGAGATGGCCTATGAGGCCCTGTCCAGTTGAGGTCCCATGAAACGGATAATCTGCTAGTTAGCACTGAGCAAGCTATCTGAAGACAGCAGAGAAGGAAGGCGCCAAATATGGCCTGGGGCCCTAGTTTTGGTCCCAGCTCTGATACCGATGAGTTGAGATCGAGGCTGTCGTCCCCTGTTCCCTTTGGTTCTCAGACTTGACACTAGCCTCCTGTCTGTTCCTCATGTATGCCACCTTGTCTCCTGGCTCTATGCATTGTCAGTGGTCTCTTCCTCTGCCTCTTGGCTTCCTGACTTCCTTCAAGTCTCAGCTATGATCACACCTTCTGCAAGAAGCTCTTCTCAGTCCTCCTTAATCTTCGAGCCTTCCCTCTGAGACAAGCCCCAGTTTATGTTTCATGTATCTTCTTTGCATACAGCTGTTTGCATAGTCTTCCCCATTAGACGGCGGGCTCCTCAAGAGCAGGGCCTGTTATTTTGCCTTTCTTTGTATCCCTAGTGTGTAGACCAGCACATGGCATACAGGAGGTGCTTAATAAATGCTTGTTACCTTGACTTCCTAACTCACAGAGTATAAGAAAAACACTTTGTAAATCCTAAAGATCTAGATCAGAGGTGCTTAACCTGGGGTCCATAGATATCCCTCACCCCATCCAAAGACAGATTTCAGTGCATCTATGAAAAAAGATTGCATCTTTATTTTTACTACCCATTTTTTTTTAAAGGAGAGGGTTTGAATTAATTTTTTTTAAAAGGTTTTTTTTAAACTTAATACCTTCTGTCTCTTACATTATCACAATTATCTCCAGCAACCTTCCCACTTCCCTTCCTAAAGAGCCATCCCATATAACACACAGTATTTTTTTTGAATATAAATTTATTTATTTTTAGTTTTCAACATTTACTTCCACAAGTTTTTGAGCTCCAAATTTTCACCCCATCTCCCCCCTCCCCCCACCCCAAGATGTCATGCATTCTGAATATCCCTTCCCCTACTCTGTCCTCTCTTCTATCTCTCTCCCCTTCTCTTATCCCCTTCCCCTTCTATTTTCCCGTAGGGCAGGATAGACTTCTGTACCCCATTTCCTATATTTATTTCCCAGTAGCATGTGAAAACATTTTTTTAAACATATGTTTTTAAAACTTTAGGTTTCAAATTTTCTCTCTTCCTCCCTCCCCACCCACCCTCATTGAAAAGGCAAGCAACTCAATATAAGTTGTACATGTGCAGTTATGCAAAACACATCCATAGCAGACATGTTGTGAAAAACTAACTCTATTTCCCTTAATCCTATCCTGCCCTCCCATTTATTCTATTCTTTCTTTTGACCTGTCTCTCCTCAGAAGTATTTACTTCTGATTAACCCCTTTCCCAATCTGCCCTCCTCTCTATCATCCCCCTGCTCTCTTGTTCCCTTTCCCCCCCTATTTTCCTGTAGGGTAAGACAGATTTCCATACCCAATGGAATGAACACACAGTATTTTTTAAAGACAGGGAAAAAAATCAGAACTGATTAATATGTTGAAAAAGTCCAAAAACATGTATGTGGTAGCAGCTGTGGGCCTCTAACAAAGTGGTGAATTGGGGTTCTTTTCTTATATCTCTTCATTTAAGTTATGCTTGATCTTTATTACTTTGTTACATTCACTTTTGACTTTTTGATGTAGTTTCACTAACCTTTAATTGAAATTTATAATTTCCTTCAATTATTTGAAAGTGTGATTCTGAACAAGGGTACACAGGCTTCACCAGACTGCCAAAGGGGCCAATGGCGCGCACGCGCCACACACACACACACACACACACACACACACACATACACACAACACACAGAGTTAAGAACTCTAGGTCTAGAGAAATGGGAATAATTATCTCCCTGGAATGAAAGGTGACTCATTTCACATGATAGCTTTTTTTTGTTATTTTTGAAAAACAGACATCTAGGAGCCCTTTGAAAAAATGATTTGTGCCAACTTATGTAAGCCCTTCAATACAACATTTCACTGCCTTACTGAAATCCTTTTCATGTGACATACTCAGGAACAGAGGGGCCAGGCACGCATGGGTCCAGAAATCATCTAACCTCTCATCTGCTGATAACTTTTTTTTTTTAAAGTCTGAACTATCTCTCTCAGGCTGGAATTACAGAGGCTAATCATGGGTCCTACCCACTACAGACTGGCATCTGCTTTGTTTCCTACTTGAGCCAGTTCATGCCTTCTTAGGCAGCCTGGTGGTCCCCTGAAACCAAGGGCTCACTGTATTGATGCTAGACTTACTGAAAACATGTAACAGTTTAACCCCACCAAAGCTTGGAACTCCTGAGCTGAAGAGAACCACAGCCTTCCTAGTAGCTGGGATTACAGGTACAGCCTTGTCTATCGCTGATGACTCTTACAAACTTTGGAGTAGGGAATAAATCTTTCTAAAGTCACTGTCATCAGAAAGGTCACTCCCTTTCTGGACGTGGGATCTTTGTGATAGGGACTGAAAAATGAGGTCTAAAAGAGTTCAAAACAATTTCTTCCAGGACATCTATACCCAACAGCAATGAAGCTGGGCAGTGTTTCACACATTATATGAAAAAGATGCCTAGGCTGGAGTCCCCTAGTTCTGCCCCAAATTCTGGGTGCGACCTTGGGCAAAAGTCCCTCCCTCTTACTGCGCCTCTGCTTCCTCTTCTGTGACAAGAGGGGGTTGGGCCCGATGCTCTCTATGGCCCCTTTCAATTCTGAGAATGTATGTTCCATGTGCTAAGGTCCCTTCTAGCTTGAACATTCTGTGTTCCATGTTCTAAGGTCCCTTCCAGCTGGGACATACTTTGTTCTGATTTGTAAGGTCCCTTCTAGCTTGGTCACTTTATGCTCTAAGTTCTAAGGTTTCTTCCATTTCTGATCTTCTGTGTTCTATGTCTTTGAGGTCTCTTCCAATTCCAATTCTGGGTTATATTTTCCAAGGTTCTTTCTAGCTGTGGCATTCTCTGTTCATTCTACACTCTGTGTTCTAAGGTTCCTCTCATATCTGACATGCTGTGTTCCATGTTCCAATTTCTCTTTTAGCTTGGTGTTTTTTTGAGCATACAAATGCTCCATAGTGATTCATATCCAGTCCCTCAAGCTCAACCAGTGTTGTACATCAAACATAAACTTTAAAGACTAAAGGTTTCCCCAACAGCTCCCTTGCATGAATCTCAATGTAAAGTCACAATGTAATGTCAGAGTTGGAAGGGAATTGGACTTGTCAACAGAGATGAACTCATCCAAACCTTCATCTTACAGAGGAGGAAAGGAAAGCCCAGAGGAGCAAGGGTGTGACCCCCACCCCCCACAGTCACACAATAATTTAGTGACAAAGCCAGGATGAAAACTCTGTTCTGCTTCCAAGACCACATTCCCATCATGCCATGCTGTGTAATCCTGACACTATAATAGATTTAACTTTTAAGGGTAACAGGTTGCATTAACATACTTTTATGTCCTTAGAATTTGTCCATATGAACAATAGTTCACTGGTGAAGACCATGACTTTCTTTTTTGTAAAATATATTTAGTTTTTTTTATTGCGAACACTAATACAAATATTTTAATAAAAAAACAAGAAAGGGGTCTATATAAGAGACTGTAGGCTTCCGTTACATATGCTTTATTTTTTAAAAGCACATATATGCATATATACATATATATGTACATATAATTTAATAAGATATTAACAAAACTGTTAGATGTTTATGTGTCCCTTTCCATATTTTTCAGTTTTCTTCTATTCATTACAAAATGTTTTCCTGATGTTCTTTTTTATATGAATATCTATTCCTACCCAGTCAAAATTAGGCCACATAGTCTGATGTTTTTCTGTTTTGATTTTTTTGTGTGTACCCCTTTTGCAAAACCCTCTTTACAGCACACATAATACAAAGGCAGGGTGGTATGCTAAAGACAATGCTGGACTTGGGAATGGGAGATGTGGGCTTGAATCCTGCTTCTATCTATTACTCAATAGGTCTACCGCCATGGACAAGCCACTTCACTTGTGTCCTCATGTGTCAAACTGGAGATAACAATAATTGCCCTATCTAACAAGGTTGTTGAGAGGAAAGTACTTTGTTCACTTTAAAGGATCATAGAATTATATCACTGTTATTTCTTGTCTTGAAATTGGGAGCATCCCAGGAAATTATTTTATTCCTTCCTCTCCATCTTTTGCCCCTCCCCCTGATAAGACAAAACCAAACCCTAAACTTGACAATTCAAGATATTTTCCCCTTTTCTCATAGATGTGCCCATTACATCTTCCATACTCACCATATAAAATATATGTTCCCAGAGGTTTGAGAAGACTGAGACCTTTTCCTGTGTTTTCTCCACACAGACAGTCCAAGACAATATCTACGCCTTCTGGAGAAATTCTGAATGGCAGAGAAACAAAATGCAAGACAAGTAAAGCACCAGGGAACAGAGAAGATTATCCTTTTCCCCTTCCCCCTTATTATTAGTTATAGATCCCAGAGCCCTGGGACTTTTGCTGAATTGTCCCTAGCTCCAGATGCAGAAATAATATCATGCACCTGATTTTGTTGCTTCTCTAGTCATGTGGACATCTTAACTAGAAAGTTAAGGCCCAAACTGAATTGCAAATAGAATAATATAGTCAAGAAAGAATTTGAAAGGCCTGGAATTTAGGCCTTCCACAAACTGCCAGTATTCTACTTTCCAGTCTTATCCCATACTAGTTCCCATGACATACTCTACACTCTGCCCAAACAAGATGTCTTGTCTTCCCCACATACATCCATTCTCTAATACCTGTGCTCACAATGACACTGTCTTTCATCTCTCCAGGTGATACTCTACTCATCCTTGAAGATCCAGGTTGGACTAGGTGACCTTCTAACCCTTTGATTCTATGATGCAACCTTCTCTGGCAAGTAATAGCCTTTCTTCTGTTGAGAAGGGCATGTATTGTCCCAATTTTTGAAAAGGAGGGGAAAAAAATGGCACAGTACAACCGGTAGGACAGTGAACTTGACTATGGTTCCTGGGAATAATCTAGAACATTTTACTGAGGCGATGGTTAAGGCAGCTAATTGGCACAGTGAAGAGACTGGACTTGGAGTAAGGTTCAAATCCTGCCTTAGTCACTTGATAACTGTGTGAACCTGAGCAAGTGACAACTTCTCTCAGCCTCAGTTTCCTCATGTATAAGTTAAGTGAGTTGGACTTGAGGCCTCTAAGGTTCCTTCGGGGTCTAATTATGATCTTGCGATCCAGAAAGGAATTTAAAAGCAATAAATGTAAATGTACCCTTGGGTTCATAAAACCAAGTCTGCATGCACGAGATTGGGATGGTATGCCTAGATAATTATTCATTTGGAAAATATTTGGGTTTTAGTGGCCTGCAGGCTCCATATGTCAAAGATGTGATATGCCAGCCAAGAAAGCCAATTCAATCTTTGCCAGCATTTAGTGAGGCATAGGGTTCAGGAATAAGGAGGTAGGAGACAGTTTGCCCAAGTAAGACGGCGCTGGAATAGGATGCTATCCCGTGCACCACATTTGAGGAAGGTAGTTGATAAGTTGGAGGAGTGTCTAGGACAGCACAGGGCCCTGAATTCATGCCATATAATGGTTGGTTGAAGGGATCAGAGATGTTTAGCTAGACACAGAGAAGGCCTGGAGGAACATGTTCTTGTTGCTCAGCAGTTTTTCCCCATAGCCTCATTTGGGGTTTTCTTGGCAAAGATACTACAGTGGTTTGCCATTTCCTTCTCCAGCTCATTTTGCAGATGATGGACTGATGCAAGCAGGGTTAAGTGACTTGCCCAGGGTCACATAGATAATACGTTTCTGAAGCCAGATTTGAACTCAGGAAGATGAGTCTTTCTGACTCCAGGCCCAGTGCTCTATCCACTGTGCCACCTAGCTGTCCAGAGGGACATGACAGTTGTTTAGAAATATCTGAAGAGCTGTCCTGCTAAGAGGGGTTGAAATAGTTTTGAGTTGAAGGCAGAATGAGGAACAATGGGTGAAAACTGAAAAGAGCCAAGGTTGAGCCTGACAGCTTTCTAACAGTTAGAGCTATCCAAAAGGAATGGGCTATCTCCTGAGGTAAGCACTCCTCCTTTATTGGAGATATTCAAGCAAAGGCTCGACAATCAGTTGGCAGGGTTGATGACTTTTGGGGGATGGTTGCTGGACCAGATGGTCCCTGATACCCCTACCAATTCTAAAATTCATTTATTTTGTAGGTCTGTGCACATTTGCACACAATACACACAATGCAATCATTATTCACTATGCTCTGCGGCTACCTGTGTGTGCATTCTATGCCCTTACTACTTTATAATCCCGATGGGAGGGGGAGCAAAATCAATCGCCTATTGAGATTGCTGGTGTCTTGCAGTGCCTGGCACAGTAGGTGCTTTATATGAGGTACTTGCATTTCACCTTATCTCAAAGGCATGGTGGGGTGGGAGGAGTGCAGAGAGTGAGAATGAGAAAAGAGGGAGGGAGGAAAAGAGAGAGGAGAGATGGAAAGAAAGGGCAGGGGGAGGAACAGGAAAAGAAGGAGAGGCAGAGAGAGAAAGAATCCAGAAGTCGAATGTAGAGTAGGAAGAAAAGAACAGGGGAACTCTGACTGCTGTCGCCTTGTAGTCAAAGGGCTTTCACATAGAAGAGGAAACTGACCTGTCCTGCTTAGGTCTAAAAGGTAGCTCTAGGGACAGGCGGGAGTGGGGGGGGGCAGGGGAAGGGGCTTCCTAGCAATTAAAGATATGTGAGAGTGGAACAGGTTGCCTCTGGAAGCAACGGATTCCCCACCACTGGAGATCTTCACGTGGAGGCAGGACAACCACACATTGGGAAAACTGCAGAGGGGATTTCTGCTCCAGCTATGAAGTTCGATTAGATGCTTCCTGAGGTCCTTTCTAGCTCTGAGATTCTGCTATTCTTTTTTCTAATGTAATATTTCCTTAGGCACAAACTTCAAAACTGCAAAATATTTAGCCATAATTAGACCTTCTGCTTACAGCCTAATTATTGAGAAGGCAAAACCAAATTCCATTCGTTTGGGTCTATTATAAATCACCCTGTACCAAAATGCCTGATCTCAGCTAATAGCACAGCTGTAAACACATCAGCAGCTCTCTTTAATTAAGTAATTATGTTAAACAGTGGGGGCCTTTCTTAGAAATGAAACCCTTGAACAGCTAAAGTCCCAATTTCCTAATCCCCCAAATCAAGGACTACCTGGGTGTCCTTCATACCTACAGTGCAATTATCTAGTGGCTGAGCCTGGGGGAACATTTCATGGTCCCTTCTTTCTCATACTTCAAGAAACAATGAACCACTGTATAGGTGACAACTGGAAAAACAGCCCCTTGCTGAGAAATTATTTTTACACTACAGTTCCACTCTAAGCCTTAATCTCACCCCTTGCCCCCTCCCACAGTGTATGTTCCAGCTAAATTGGCCTACTCTTCATCTTGGCTCCTCTCATTTTTATGTCTTCCTCCATGCCTACAATGGTCTCCTTGCCCACCCTCATCTCCTTTTATTGAAATCCTTCCCATCCTTCAAAGCCCATCTCCAGTAGATGAGCACCTTCCTTGAGAATCCTGCTTACAATGATCTTACAGCTCTGTTGAACACTTCCTTATCATATTCTTGTTTGGGTCTTGTCTCCCCAGGTGTATCTCTTAACATGCCCCAAATTGATCTCACCTAGATTATAAGCTCCTTGGGGGCAGAATGTGTTTGATTTCAGTTTGAAATCTGATGGGTTTAATCTATGAGTTTGATGAGCTGGACTTTGACTGGGATTATCCCATGGGCTACCTGGAGGTCCCTCCCCATCCCAGGATAAGAACCGTTTCATCATCTTGGTCAAGATGAGCTGTGCACTATCTAATTGTGAATGGGAAGAACGAAGCCAGTCTCATATCAGAAGCCACCTAGGCAATGCAGAGAATCAATGTTCCCTTGGAAACCATCTCAGCTGGACGTAGAGGATGTTTGATATCATCCTTTTCCAGCAGTAGAAAACTCCTCCTTCTGCCTGTATCCAATCATTTGCTAAATCTGGTTGATTCTCCCTCCACAACATAGTTCACATTCATCCATCTCCTTCTCTCCACTCACATACACCCCACCCAAATTTACGCCCTGGTCATTTTTCACCTTGTTTATTGCAACAGTTTCTAACTAGTCTCCCTACACCCAGGGGCTGCTCCCTCCAATGCATTCTCTATACAGCTACCAGACTGATATTTGTAATGCCAGTTCTTTGAGTCTGCTAAAGAAATGTCAGCGGTTCCCTATTGCTCCCAGGACTGAGCACAAGACCCCTTCTGGCATTTAAAGCCCCACCTAATTTGGTTCCAACCTATCTTCCCAGCTGGATCCCACATTACTCTTTCTCTCTCATGTTCTAGGGTCAGCCCAGCTGGACTATTCATGATTCTCCATATAGGACATTCTATCTCCCATTCGCAGGTCCTCCCCAGCCCTCTGTTCAATTTCTTCCCTACCCCCCATTACTGGACTGTTTTCCAGCCTCATCTGCCTTTGCCTCTTTGAGTCCCTTGTTCAGCTCATGAGGCACCTCCTTAAAGAGGCCACTCTTGATTAACCTCTGCAGTTAGTTGGTCTGCATTCTGTTTCTTTTTTGTAGACTTCTTTCTTCCATACTGTATTCTCCCAGGAGAATGAAAGTTCCTCAGCTGCAACAACTGTTTCTTTTTTGTCTGTCTAGCCCCATCACTGCTGCTGCACAGCCGCAGTTATATGGATAGGGAGCTAGTCTCAGGAAGGCCTGCATTCAAATCCTGCCCCAGCCGCACAATGGCTGTAGGATCCCTGGGCAAGTCATCTTACCTTTCTAGGCAACTCTCTAAAATGATGATTTATAGAGAAGGTGCCAGCCTCCACTGGTAGGAGTCTCCCCCTCCAGGAGTTCCCTGGATCAGTGAAATGCCAGATCCTCCTATCCCAGCATAGTGCCTGGCACATAGCAGGTACTTAAAGAATGGCTGTTGAATTGGGCTACAATGAATTTAGTCTTTGTGAGTGCAAGGCTAGAGTATCTGGCATTTAAAAAACATTGACATGAAATGTACACAGTCCTTTAATTCTAAGATGCTAGGAAGTTGTAGATTTCTCTGCTCTTGACTCTCCCTGTAACTCTTGTCTTTTATTTTCTTTTTCTTTTCTCTAGACTCTTTCTCCTCTTCCTTCTCTATTTTCTCTTCCCTTCCCCCTCCTCCTTTCTTTTTCAGTCTTTCTCCCTTTCCCCCCTTTTCTAATCATTATTTTGAGAGATTTCTGGAAAATGTTCTATTGTAAATTGCCCTGAGTAGTAATTACTTTTCAATAAAACTGTCACTAAAGGACTCCTGCCCCTTTACTAGGGAATTCATTTCCTTTTCTTACATCCTTCCGTTCAAGCTTGGTCTCTGGTTCTCTGCTCTGCTCCTGTAAACCCATTCTTGCTCAGTGAGTTCATCCAGTCTCAAGGCTCCCACCATCACCCAGTGCTGACTATGGTGATGACTCCCAAAATGAAATTTCCAGCCTCAGTTTCCCTCCAAAGCTCCAGTCTCCAATCTACAAAGGCTGGGGGACATTTCGTTCATCTATAAAGACTAAACACAGAAAATGTTTGGTCAGGCCTAGACAAGATACAAAAGGGCCAGGATCTCATTTCTGGACACAAGGAGCTGACACTTAGCTATCTTCTTGTGTCCTCAGATTTAACATGCTCCAAAATGACCTCATCACACTCCCCAACAAATGACTCTTTTCTCACTGTTTTGTTTTCCATATTCACTGCATTCCCAAACCTTATAAATTTTACCTCCAAAGTGTCTTTTGTATCTGTCCCCTTCTCTCCATCTTCACCCCGATCCATCCGCTCATCTCCTCACATCTAGATCTCTGTAACAGGCTCCTCTCTGGGGCCTCCCCACTGCAGGCATTCCACATACACCCCAAAAAACCTGTACAAACTGCCAGATGTTTAATCATTCTTAAACACTGACCTGCATGTCACTCCACTACTTAAAAGTGAAGATGTGATCAGCTGTTATAATTAATCAGCTACAGCCTGGAAGATTCTAATTAAGTATGGGATTAATTTCCTAAGGGTTCATTCATCCAAAATTTATTAAACATCACTACAGGGATCCCTATGATTTCTTCTCATGGCATGAAGTGGAACCTGCTCTTTAAAGTAATGCCAGTAGAGCAAAGCTCTGGTAGTCCCTACCAGAATGGAAAGAAGTTGAGTAAAGGCACATTGTTCAAGGATCAGACTGGCTAGGAGTGGAAAGGCTCATCACCAGAGAGTGGGCTGCCAGAAGATGAATTTTTCATCATAGCAACTCATAAGAACTATCTACTAAAGCACAAGAGATCACAATCTTCACTAGCAGAAGATGCAGGCACAGAGAAAGTCAAAGATCTTTTGAAATACTCAAGTATGTGCAGAGGGTTGTGCTCAGATCTAGGGGAAGTTCAAAGATGAGGGAAATACCATCCATATCTCCAAAAAGCTTCCAGTCTAGTAGGTGATAAGACACTGACAGAGATGATTATAAAACACATTAGGATATGATAACTGCATGAGTTAAAGTACTAGGAGATTCAATTTACAGATGAATAGATCAGGGGAGTCTTCTTAAAAGTGGCATTTAAGCTAGAATTTGAAGGAAAGAGGGGGAGCATCAACAGGTAAAGATATAGGGGATTAGAAATTAAGAAGCCCTCCAGATATAGAGATGAGTTGAGGCACAAGTATGGAGATGGGAAAGACTGGGACATGTTCATGATAAAGACAATCTTTCTGTTTGGCTGAGCATGAAGGACATAAAGGGAATCAGTGTGAGATCAGGCTGGGGAGGCAGGGTGGTACCAAACGGTGGAGGGTCTTGAGTGCCAGTTTGGAGAATGTAGATTTATTTGATAAGCAATGGAGAGCCAATGACGAGTTTCACAACAAAAAGCAATGGTACGTAGAATGCACTGGAAGGAAAGAATAGACAAGAAAAGTTCTAGAAGCATTGCGTATTGCAGGTGATTCCTGAAACAACTAAAGAAAAGACAAGCTCAAAATATCCCAAAATGGAGTCATCCCCCCCTGTGATTTTCATGGTTCCATTAGATTGGCCAGATGGATACCACAAGGCAACCTTGGGAGTTAATGTCCTACCTTTTAACCTCCTGCACATAGTCAGCATTTCTGTCAAAGAGGTGGGTGACAGAATCTTTGATGGCTTCATGCTTGAAGGAAGAAGCAGTTCCAAAGACTGTGACATTGGGGATGGTTGAGCAGAGCTGAGCAACAGCCTGGCCCTGAAAATACAAATCATTACATTAAGCACTGATGGACCATGTTAGCACCAGCCCCCCTGGCTATCTTTCAAAGGTCTTGGGACCTTCACTCCCTCCCAGCCTCCAGTGTATCTAATATACTGTCTTGCTAACAAAAATTAGGCCCATAAATATTCATCTTCCTTTAATCCCCAAGTCTGATCTTATCACTGCCCTATATCAAACTGCTGAATGCCTCCCACTTGGCCTACTGGATAAAAAACAAACTCCTTATCAGGCATTCAAGGCCATCTATAGTTAATTTTCCTAGTCCCATTTTACAGCTATCACCTTTATTTAGGTGCCCCACACCCTAGCCAAACCAGATTACAAATTACTTTGCAAACTTGGCTCACTCTATTTCCTTCCACTCAAGGGACATGTTACTCCAGGGGTTTGCCACCTTTTTTGTGTCCTGGACCCCACAGACAGTCTCATGAAGACTGTAAACCCCTTCTCAGAATACTTTCTAAAAAATGTATAAGATAAAATACATAAGAATACAAAGGAAACCAAAGATTAATGAAAATAAAAGATTTTTTTCCCATTCAAGTTCATAGAACCCCTAAGATCCATCCACAGATTGTCAATGGACCCCTGGTTAAGGACCCCTGCTCCAATCAAACTGAATGATTCCCACGCCCTCAAACACATTCCCTATTTTTTTTAATTAGGAACTTGACAAACATGAATATTTCCTTATAAAACAAAAAACAGAAAAAGATTGTATGACTGTGAATCTGCATGTACAGATATTTTTTAAAGTACATATTAAATTTAACACAGTACTGCCAACACTACTCCACTTGTCTATGTCTTTGGAATCTCCTTTTGCAACCTTCTGTTTATTTTAAATTTTGTTAATTGATGTTCTTTTCTTTCTTATATCACTATAATAACCTTCCCATATGCTTCCCAATAACCTCTCCCTGAAAAAAAAAGTCCTTCCCCCATAACAAATAGTCAAGCAAAACAAAGCAACACATTGACCTTGTCTGAAAGTGCATGTCTCCTTCTGCATGTCTAGTCTATCACCTGTCAGGTAAGAGGTGGGTCTTTTGGAATCATCAGTGGTCATGATATTGATCAAAGTCTTAAGTCTTCACAGTTATTTTCCTTTACAATGTTGTAGTCATTGCATGACTCACACCTTAATTTTTTTTAAAAGCTTTGTGTCTTTGTTCACACTGATGTCTGTGACTGGAATTCATTCCTTCCCCATATTTCTAGCTATTGGCATTCAAAGTCCACCTCAGATGTCACTACCACCAAGATTTCATTAAGTCTTTCCTGATGAAGTTATCTTTCCTTTCTTAGGCCTTTCAACAGCATTTTGCTTGTCCTTCTTTTCTGTTTTAACTGAATGTTAAAATGATTTAGAAGTGTTTCACATCCTTCTGTTAGACTGAGTTGCATAAGGACACATCTGAAGTTAACTATCTCCCACAAAACCTAGCACAATGTTCTGCACACATTAGGTGTTCATCAGGGTTTGAATTAAATTAATATTAATTACTTGTATTTAGTGACTAGAATTCAAGCTACTACTGAGGCATACAGACACATGAAGAAAAGTTTATTGTGTGATTTTAAAATTCTAAATGACATGAAGAAGATTATACATATTTAGAACATGTAAGATCAAGAACATGTTGCTATGAACTCAATTTTTTTGTACTGACCGTGCATTCAAAGATACTACCACAAATCATTATGTCACAAATCAAAGAGGAAATATTTCCATTTAAGTAAACTGCAGGAAGCAATACTTGCTTATTGTATTAATTGCAGGTCTTCATATTAGTGACAAAATCAGATGGGAAATGCAATTTCCTCATCACTATTAAAATGTTAGAAAACCAGATGCAGAATGTCAGACTTAAGAACATATAATACAGCATGTCAGATCTGGAAGGGCTCTTTGAACACAAAATGTCAGAGTTATTTTCTCTGACCCCTTCATTTTACTGGTAAGAAAACAGACTTGGAGGGAGGAATGACTGGCTGAAAGCTATACAACTAGGTAGGTGGAAGTGGAAATTAAACCCATGTCTCCATCTTTCAGTTCACTGGTCTCTCCACCAGTCCATGCTGCCTCTAAATTTTGACATTCTTTATTAAGCTGTCAAAGGAAATGCTTCTGACTCCTCATAAAAGTTTCATTAATATGCCTGCCCCTGACTTGGAATTGAAAGATTTAGAATAAAAAATTATTAGTATGAATCTGTGTCTTCTTACCTTTTAAGTCTCATCTCCTACCTTCCACAAGGAACACCAACCATATTGAACTACATGTTGTCCTCATATATGTCCTGCAGTTTCCTACATCCATCCCACTGCTCATTCCAATCTACATAATTTTCCTGGTTTTCTGTAAGTCCCAACTAAAATTCCATCTTTTATAGGAAGTCTTTCCCAACGCTTTTTTATTCTAGTGTCTTCCTTCTGCTGATTACTTCCTATTTTTCTTGTACATGGCTTATTTTGTATATATTTGTTTGCATGTTGTCTTCTCTATTAGATTGCAAGCTCCTTGAGGGCAGGGATCTTTTGCCTCTTTTTATATCCCAGGTGCTTAGCACAGTGCCTGGCATATAGTAGTTGCTTAATAAATGTTTATTGATCAGTTGCCTGGAATGCCCTCTGCTGCCCCTCTGCCTGTTGAGTTGTTAATCATCCTATAAGTGGCCAAAAGAAATGAACAAACAATAAGTATTCAAAGGAAGATCTGCAAACTATAGGTGACCACATGAAAACATGCTTCAAATCACTAATAATAAGAAAAACAACAATCAAAACAATTCCCAAACTCCATTCAATACAGACTGGACAAAGATGAAAAAATGACAGAACAGTCAATGCTATAAGAGCTGTAGGAAAAAAGGCACATGGATGCAGTGTTTATTAAAAAAAAAAAAGATGATTGTTCGACTTTCTTATTCTATGTTATCATTTCTAAACAGATACCTACCATTTCTCCTACCCATTGAGGCACCCCTTACACCAAAGAATAAAAGAAAGAGAGAAGGGAAGACAGTTTAGCAAAACCAACCAACACGTCAAGCCAGTCTGGCAGTATGGGCAAGGTTCTGCATCATAGTTCCACAGCTCTGCAGAAAAAGGAGGGAGGTACATGTGCTTCCTTCTTCTCTGGGGCCAGGCTGTGTGATTATGATCACACCTTGCTCAGTCTCCTCTTTTGATTTATTCCACTTATGTTGTTTAAGCCATTGTGTACAGAATTTTATCCTGGTTCTGCTTACTTCACTCTGCAGCAGGTGACACAATGCTGATGGAGCTATGAAGTCATCCCACTATTCAGGATTTCAATTTGGACTTAATGCAAGGTAAGTGACTAAGCTGTTCCTCACATAAAATGCTCCCTCTCTAGATCTGACATTTTCATTGGTTATTTCCTATGCGTGGAATACTGTCCCTCCTTATCTCTGCCTATTAGTTTCTAGCTAAAATGCCATTGTGGGGGCAGTTAGGTGGCCAGTGGATACAGCACTGGCCCTGCAGTCAGAAGGACCAGAGTTCAAATCCTGCCTCAGACACACAAAGCTCACTAGTTGTGAAACTCTGGGCAAGTCACTTTTTTTTTTTTAGGCAATTGGGGTTAAGTGACTTGCCTAAGGTCACACAGCTAGTACGTGTCAAATGTTTGGTCTGAGGCCGGATTTGAACTCAGGTCCTCCTGACTTCAGAGCCAGTGCTCTATCCACTGCGCCACCTAGCTGCCCCTAAATAAGACCCTTAATATCTTTTCTTTTTTTTTTTTTTTAGGCAATTGGGGTTAAGTGACTTGCCCAGGGTCACACAGCTACTAGGTGTCAAGTGTTTGGTCTGAGGCCGGATTTGAACTCAGGTCCTCCTGACTTCAGGGCCGGTGCTTTATCCACTGCGCCATCTAGCTGCCCCCGCTCTGGGCAAGTCACTTAACCCCAACTGCCACACACACACACACACACACACACACACACACACACACACACACGCCATTTTCTATCAGAAGTCTTTCCTGAGCACCACTCCCCAACCTTAATTCTAGTACTTTCCCTCTATTGATCATTTCTAATTTGTCCAGCATAAAGCTTGTTTGTATAGAGTTATTTCCACGTTATTTCCCCCATTATACTGTGAGCTTCTTGAGGGCAAGGAATGCCTTTTGCCTTTCTTTGTATCCCCAGCCCTTAGCACAGTGGAACTTGCCATATAGTTGATACTTAACAAATGCTCACTGAGTGATTGACTACAGCAGAATTATCACTTCCTTCAAGGCTATTATTAATTTACCCTAAGAAGGAATCAGCTTTTTGCACCTTGAAGCCTCTCAGCTATTAAAGCTCGTAAGTCTGTTGCTCTGGATTTGCTGCTGTCAGGTCTCTCCCATTATGTGTGTGTGTGTGTGTGCGTGTGTGTGTGCATGCACACACGTACATGCACACATGCATGTGCACAAATGAATTCTTAAGCCACGGAGGACAGAAATTCGCATTTAGTTTCTTTGCCTACTTTCTTCTCCATTTTCAGGAATCCTACCGTCATTAGCACCTAAGCAACCTTAAATAAATACCTTACCTTCTCTGTGTCTGTTCCCTCCTTGGTAAAAGGCAAGATTGGGACCAGATGGTTTCTAAGCTTCTTTCCAGCTCTAAATCCTTTGGTCCTATCTATTCAAATTTCCTTTCTGTCCAAATGGCTTGTCATAATGGAAAGCAGTTTTCCTAATGCAGCAAAATGGTTTGGTTCACTAAAATTGCTTCCTGGGACTTGCAGAATGTAAGAGAAGGAAATATTGAACTTACAGGTTTGGAGCCATATTGATCTCATTTAAGTTGTAAGGAGAAGATTTTCAAAGGCACAGATACGAAGAAGAAAGAATGCAGCATTGGCTAATGGGGAAATCCTGGATGATAAGAGGAAGCCCCTTGGGAAATGTCTGATTTGAAAAAAATAAGTTGTAAGAAAGGCAAACTGAT